CAAATTCTTAATAGTCAACGGAAGCATTGTTGACGACCCGGATACTATTTGTGAACAATTCAGCCAGTATTTCTTGCAATGCTACAACATTCAAACCGAAATCTCTATCAATACGTTTACAATGTTGACACCTGGACATCTATGCAAAATTGATTCCATACCCACCAACATCAAGCATGCCATCGATGCCCTGGAGAGTCCTGTGATGGTGGACATGACGGAATTTCTTTACCATTTGTGAAATATGATAATAAACGGTTCCTATTATTTTTGGTTTAGAATATGGAACCCATTCATCTGTATGGAAGACATCGTTCATCACCCCTAGGTTTGAAACAGGATCACTTAGTGGTGCTATCAAGAACTATGGAAAAATGATACACAAACAGCTGTTATCATTTTAACTTTCGGTCAGCCTTATCAGCCCATCTCAATACGTGTTTGTGACCAAACGCTCAGGCCTCACAGCGAACATGGAAATTTTTGGTCGAATAACCGAGAGAAGAGATTTCGCGCAGTCAATGATAATTCTGTACTTCAAAGAGTCTTCGAGGAGTCTGATTCACGAGTTACTGAATCCCTCTTATGAGAAAGAGCCCCGTTTTAGTCGTTTGACGACTGAACAGAGAAACATTACTTGCTCTTTATTAACTTCTGGAGCTGTAGTTTTTGTTGTCATCGGTTTCGTGTATAAAAATTGTGGGAGGGAAACAATTACTAAAGATGTTTTCAACATCCCGCAACAGTTATTTAAATAATCAAAACTTTTAGGCCAATGTAACTTATATCACTAAATTTACTTAGCAGGGGATTTGGGAACGTTAGCTGGATATATAATCGATTTGAGGGTGTGGCTGAGATGAACCGTGACCTAAACGGTGGTCTGGAATACTACTTATGGATTATCCATTAAGAAAGTCATAGCATGTTTTGTATATACTAATAAGTGTGAAGCATATTATATTTTCAAGGTTAATGAATCTTTTAATCTATGTGTTTATAAATCGGTAGATCAAAGCAATAAGACAAGCAACTGGCCTTAAGTGTTATAAGCCTTCATTCAAATGGGGCTTTCCCAGTGAATCAGACAATGTATTGATCAAGGGTCAGTATTGTACTGGATTTTCCAGGTGCAAAGTCAATTATCACATAAGAATGACGAATAGATAGAGTAATGAGAAAATTCCACTTTTTGCAAACTCAGCAGCCACTTGAGATGGTGGTTGGGGTAGTTGAACGGAAACTTCGGATCAAAGTTTCGTACATCTTGGAAGGACTGATGCTCCCTGGCAAACTCGATCCCGTGTAGCCGAGCTTCACAGCCAGAGACGTTACCACGGAGCTATTCGGTCCTCAAATGACCCGTCGACTAACTCTAACCACCACTCTTAATCTCAAAATAGTGAACATAATATCGAGTCAGTAAGAATATTAACCACATTCAAACTCAATATATTCAATCCGATTAGCTTTGAGAAGGCCTTCATATATATGACATCAGTCACTACTCAGCGATCAATCAATTGTTTATTAGAAACCACTTGTCGTCATTGTCCAGTTAATTAGATATCCTTACATATACGGAGTTAAGCTTATTAATCAAATAAAGGGGATTATTATTTTATTCAGAGTATAATGATGCTGAATAATAACTAAGACTGTTATGATTCAACTTAGTATTGTTTGTTTGAATCTTCCCATCGAATTTGTTAGGACGGCGACTGGTCAGTCTCTAATTGGCATATGTACACACTGTGCGTATTGCCTCGATATACCTTAATTCACAAGCATGGTTAGCAGAGATGGATAGTGGCTAGCAGTGGAATCCAGGACGCGCGTTTCGTTCTATTTGGGACTCGTTAGCTGGATGTACCTGCATCCTAGAGTTGATGTTCACTCTGGGACTCGAACCCAGTACCCTCGCTTCAAACGCCATCGCGTTATCCACTCGGCCACTGAGTGTCATGGTTTTGATTAATAAAATTACACCGAATCATAATTCTCAGGGTTAAGATCTTTTATTCTCACGAAAATATATCTTCCGATATTTGGTATTGATTTTCTGCATGGTAAGAATGCACGACGTTAATTTAGCGAAAATCAGAATTTAAACTACAATAAACTTGACAGACCAGTTGTTTTCGTTCCACTTTCATGATATATATTCTCGTTAACAGTAAAATAGAGACAATTATCAAGACATAACTACACCCCTCTTCTTACCATTTGCGTTTTAGTCTAAATTTACGCCTCTTCTCGGTTGATTTTTAAAGATTCGCGCGTTTCAGTAACAGACCCGAAGACCATTGAATTAGTTTTAAGCTGCTTTGAAAAAGGAGTCAGCAATATTCAATGCCGAAAACTCTTCAACCGAAAATTTATACTTCAGAGAACTTCCGCCTGAATCTAGTCTCATTTTCAGCCTCTTTTAGCTTCTCAACTTCTCGTATCGCTTGATAATGACAAGTATTTAAGCACAAAAATCTCTGTGCATTTCAGTTAGTGCTCACGTTTTAATATTAAATCACTTTCGTTTGTAGATTTATATACTACTTTAAAAACTCTATTTTCATTTCATTCCTTGTCATGCAGCTGAGTACACAGACTATAAAATTTTGACAGGGTGACTTCATTGAAATGCTGAGTTACCAGTCGGTTGACTAGCCTTTCATTAGGTCAGGGTGATTTTTAAAAAAAGTTACACGGTGCGTTTTATAGCTCTCTTTGACTCTATGAAAAATAAATGACCTATCACTATGATTAACCTCCGGTTTCTCATCTTCAGTTGAGGAATTCTTCTTTTTCTTCGTTATATTGGGTTGTTTTTCTTATCTTTTTTACTTTCGGCTTGTATAAATTACTAGGTTTTTACTTGGGTCACAGTTAGCGCCGGACTACACAGTTTGAGACTCTAAGAAATTGTCGTAGACCTGAGTGGTCAAGCTCTGTCCTGTTATGTCCACCGCTAGAAACAGGCCTAGCTCTACGACTGCTCATGCTAGGTGTTTCTCGACTGTTAATGTTCATAAGACGAGGCATCGAAGAAACATGCTTTAATATCCACATGTAGGTATCTTTATTTCCGTATTTTTGCTGGCAGTCCTTTTTATCTCTGTACACGTAAGCCAATCAGCTCTGATCTTACCGTGGGAGGTCATGCGCATTTGCAGAGCAGGTGCCGTCTCATTTACCCTGATGGGGACCAGTGGCGTTGCACTCGGCAACAAACGTTTTGTTTACGTGCATTATTTCGACAACCTCATATAAAAAATTTGTTAAACCCGAGTAGAACTGACAATATAAAAACATTAATACGGGTCTAGTACATCTAAAAGCAGATGTCAGTTACTGCAAACCCCGTGATACTAACCTTTGTACTCATTGCAACAAATGCTACTGTTGATTGTGTATCAACCAATCTAGCACTGACAAATACCTCTCTCGTTGTTCATCTTTGTCCTTACATACTTCAAGTATTGTCAGATAACTTTGGGAGTAACTTGAAAAGGCAAAACCTGACGCCGGAAAATTTAGTTAAACTGAACCAAGGATCGTTAAATTCAAGTAATGCTATCACCAAAAGAAGTGTTGTGCGAAAAATGCTAAAGAATTCGTAAACGTTTGTAAATGAAGGACCAGAACAGTGTTCCGCTTAGTCGCGGATGTTATGTCTGTATTTTACGTGGTTTAATCAGAACTTTCCGATATTTTACGACCTTTTAAAGTTATTCGTGATTATTCACTTTAAATTGTTCTGAATTTGTTTAGAATCTACCAAACCTTGTTGGAGCGTTATCCGTTTAGTTAAGGTACAGCGTGTTGGCGTTACAGCCTATACTGAACTGAATTCTAGTGAACTGTTGTTGCACAGCAAGATGGAAATGTTTTCATTATTATTCGTGGCCAAGTCAAGTCAAAAGAATCGGTGATACATTACAACTAACAATGGTAATAAAATCTGTCAGATAACCTAGAAGATTGGTGTAACTGAATCAGTAAAATGGGGGCTCAAAAAATTGGAGAGTATCTTCAACCAAATATGAGAAATAATGGTTGCCATCACAACAGACCTATTTTCTGAAAAAGATATGGTGTGGTGTCTTACACAACAACAACAATCCATCTCTAATGGTGATAAATAAGTAAAGAGTTTCGAGACGTATTACTTCATGTTTGATCCTATCAATGGATACCAGTAACTAGTTACGTCCAATAACACTAGTCAGTTTTCCTAGAAAAAATTCTGAAATTCATTAAAATATGGACAACAATTTTCCGTCATACGAGTAGCATCGTAGCCATTTACATTTGAGAAGGACGAAAACTTGCAGTGCCGTTTAAAACAAAAGTTCCCTTAACGCAGAAGGCTAAGTTGATACTTATATGTATAATATTTCAAAATATGGTGGAGTCATTGAGACTTTTCCTGACCTAAACTTAGATTTTCTGGTAATCAATCCGGATACTTTGCTACTTCACACTAAATCTTGGTGACTACAGACAGTGGCAAGGAATCATTGACATTCACGTAGTAGATACAGGTTAACCGAAACATCCTTAAGATTTTTGGCGAACAAATTGAGATTTTTAAAGATATTGCCTAGGTTCTCTTATAATTAGTTATATTCATTCGAGCTACTCAAGTTCTAATCCATTTATCAAGGCAGAATATTAGTTTCATAACTAGGTGGGAGGAGGGCAACATTTTGTGTAGTACTTGACGAACGAAAAACTTACGAAAGCCGTATACTTAACGAAAACAAAGAAACATTAACGAGAGGGAACATCATTATTACAAGTATTCCAGTTTGTTCTCGAAACAAATATCTCTACATCAATTGCATATTTTATCTTCGATTTAGTTTGTTGTATACATGATAAAGCCTCTTTCGAACGACAATTTAATTGAGAACAAATGAATTTGCATATTGCGAAATACAATATTTATAAGACAATCAACTAATCTAATCTCTGCAGCGATACATTGTTTTAACTTGCACTGGTAATAAAGAGCGCCTTAATACAGCATTGAACGTCCTTGGTTGTATCCTGGTGGGATTGTACTGCATTAGTTTCACACAGGTGATACATCTTGATGGAGTATGACCCGGCTTCACCAACGGAGTAAGTTCACTTTTTTTGTATATAAAAACCTAATTTAGTGAGTTAGAGGATTGTTCTCCGTCGCTTGATTTATCAGCTATTCCACTACCAAGTATGTGATATTTATAGTGAAATCCATAACTAACTAATTCTTAAGGGCCAATTAATGCTCCTATACCAAAGAGTGTCAGCGATGTATGTAATATTCCGCTACCGCCGACTGCCAAGATAGAAGCTTCAGACATTCCCTTACCAAATCTCAATCTAACAGTTGAAAATTTAGATGACAAAGGACCGCCGTTCCATCCTCGTTTGTCTTACCTCCCAAAGTCTGACACAATGGAGTCCTTAGGACCTCTAAAATTTAGTATGCGAAAGTCTACCAAGTCTTTACCAGGTTCAGATGTGCCTACAGAATCATCCGGGGTTTTCGAATCATCTAAGGATGTAAAAGTTGAGGAGCCTAAAGCCATGCCTAAACTCCAAGCGATGATGAAAAGGTCAAAACCTTCTCAACTCCCTGTTGGTGTCTTACCTGCCAAAAACAAATTGCCTGCTACTGAGGTCAAGACCGATTTGTTTTTACCAACTAAAGAAAGTGAGACTTTATGTTCTACTTCAGATCACACCAAAGGTTTACTGTCTCATCCTCATCCTGTTCCATCTTCTGATTCCAGTGATCTTCAGGCTACTAGTTCTATAATCAGTTCTGGACAACTGGTCCCATCTGGTACAGTTGACAAGTCTGTGGTACTTAGTAATAATATTTCGAATAAAGCACATATTCCTGGAACAAATTTACCATTGAAAGCCTCAACAATACCGAATTTAATGAGTCTAAATATCCAACCACTTCACCACTCTGTACCGATTGTTGCCACTCGAAATTTGATCCATGCTCATGCAACCGATCCTACTCTTGTTCAGGCGTCGATACCCCCAACTGCTGGAATGCAGTTTGTTAATCCCCAAAAGTTTAGATCTGCGCAGATGATCGCTACCCCGTTAATAGCTAATCCGGCTGTTGCGAATCAGTCTCAACAGAATGAGGAGACGCCGAAGAGCAAAAATGGTCGCCGTCGGTCAAGATCACATTCCCACAAATATCCTAGGTCACACAGGCGATCTCGTTCTAGAAGGTCTAGCGGAAACCGACACTCACGACGTCGTCACTCATCTAGCTCATCGAGTTCGGTGCACCGCTCTAGCCGTGCTCGCCACAGATCGCGGTCATATCAAAATTCTAAAGAACGTCACCGCTCATCTACTGCTCATGGTCATCTTAAAGGTAGTAGGAAACGCAGTATTGATCATAAAAGAAAGTTAGAAGCCGCTGAAAGTATAGGAAAACGGGAATCAGACAGAAAAAAGTTTCCTACTTCTCAGAAAAAACTGGACCACAAAGATTCACACTTGGAAGAGACAAAGAGATCTTATCATCGCTCAGGCACTCCCGAAAAAAAAAAGAAATTGTGCGACAAAATTGAACGTACATCATCTGTTAAAAAAAGAAAGACTAGCACAAAAAATGTCACTCGACCCGTCGTCAAAAGCCTTACAGAAAAAGTAGATTCTGATGTTAAGCGAGAATCTGATAATGTGCAATACGTTCAGACGCAGAAATTAACTTCACGTATTACTGGTACACTCGAAGATGTTTACCGTAAGACCCAACCAAAAATGGGTTACAGACAGTCTTCGGAACAAACTGATAGTAATGATCCCTCGAATAGTAGCCCTAATTCATCATCAAACAGCGGAAATCAATCTCCTAGAAAGCTTATTTCACTTAAGCATGAACAGTCGAGTAATAGTAGCTCGACAGATTCTGACTCAAGTCAACATGAAACTAATCATTCAACCGGTGAGGTTAAACGTCGTCACAGTGAGGCTATCCGAAATGAACGACAAGTGAGTAATATGAAATCTCAAAAACGGACGTCACAGTCACTCCATCCATCCAAAAGTGTGAATATAGGTAAGGCTTAGTCCCTCCGTTGAGTTTTGGAACTACTAATGAAATTATCACAGCTCCCTCTAACAATTAAGTAAACTGCTATTCATACAAATCATTCAGTACTTTGTATCTACGCCCTTGAGGTTTCATGACAGATCAACTTTTTGTCTTCTTGAGTGTTGATTTAATTACATCTGAACCTGTGTGTACACTTTCCGTTTAGGTCAAGTAACATCAGTCTACAAAGCGCTGAGTGTAATTTTCAGCTGTATTTTTAAACCTTGTACATTTTGGCAATAAATTTTGTTTCTCAGCTGTGGTTTTTTAAGAAATCCTGTCAGAGTGAGGTTGTTATTCTTTGGCGATATCTCTTGGGGTGTTTCGTTTATCGAATAAGATTGACACAGTTTTATTGCGAGTGATCTGTCATTTGTTTACTCGTTTGTGTTGGTAGTTTGTGATTTCAGTTTAGGCGGAGTCTAGTACTCGCTAGTCTTAGCCACCATCCGCAGTGGTTGCTGTGTAGTCGTGTGAATCTTGGTCCTACCGCTAAGATTATTTCTTAGGGTTTCCCTAACAGATTTTATTCGAATGTCTGGAAATTACCTTTTGTTTTGTAGATGAAATACCACTACCATCTCCACCTAACAATATACCCAATCGTATGGAAGTTCAGCCGGCGGATAGCTATTTCATGGAGTCGGAGTCGAATGCAGAGTTGGACACAGTCTGTCCACGTAATATAGAAGTTGATAATGCTCAGAGCTGTCCTGGGGGTGAGTTTATCGTCACTGTCAATGACGTCCTTGAACCCATCTCAGTTCCTGACTTATTTTCTCATGTTTCAAGTGAACCTAGTTACACCAACGAGTCATCCCAGCATTTGGATTTGCAAGGTGTTCAAAAAATGTGTGAGGTGACTGATGGCATCCAGTCACAACCTGCTAGAGACCTGGATGTGTTAGATATCCAGTGCTCTGAAATTGTTGAACACGTAGATGGTACACCACTAACAGTTGTCAGTACGCAGGACATTAGGCCATGCGAATCGAAATACGACCTGCGCAAACGGAAGATTAAGCCTCATATCCCGATGTGTTTTCTGTCCAACACTCTCAATCCGTATGAAAGATTATCCGAGTAAGTCTACTTAATTGAAACTTAAAGATGCTAATTTTGATTATTTTAGCAACAAAATTACATCTTATAAGGTTAATATTAATCTGAAATAGCGTTTAACGATTACCTCCTACGTTGCCTACTCAGACGTCTAGTGCGTTTACGCAGAACAAGCATAGTTTGGTTTCGTCTTACTTTTGATTCGAAATAACATTTTTGTACGTTTCAGGCGTAATCATTTGTCCTAGTTCGTAAAACATCCTGAGTTCTGTACCACGAAGCCTCAACTGTTAGCTCTCGTTGGTGGTTCTCGTAGCCTTTCATCTAATATATCTTAGACAGATTAAGTTACCGGTTATCGTAATTACTTCCACGCATCTTTAAAATCCAAGCTCAATCAAAATGTGCTCATTCAATTGTTTTATCATACGACATGGTCGTTTGCACTTATCAATCCATAGGCAGTCATTTGAGCAGCCAAATGTATTTGCCCTGCATGATGTCTATTTAGGACAAACTTGTCAGTTGTCGTTTAGCTTACTGTAGTTGGTGTGGTTAGTTTTCATTTTGGTAAGAGAAATAAAACACACAAGGGACTCGGGATTAGTAGACGACACAGCGTTGGAAAGTTGTCTTACTGTAAACGGTCATCGACAAAAATCCGATGGATTCTCGTTCTCACACGTCTTATCAATGAATTCCTCTGCTTTCAAGTATATTAGTTACGTTAAAGTGAGCCACCTGGTTTGCCTGCTCCCGAATGGTATGTTTTTACTGATAGCATTTCGGTTTTTGTACTCCAGGTCTTTTGAGAAGGTTCATAGAATCCGAAAGTCATCCCACCTTTCTTAAAAGTCTCGAGTGTAATGATAGCTGATGTATCTGAACTTAGCGTTTTACTATCCGAATCTCTAATTCTGATGCCTTTCAAAAATTGTTTGATTTCATTCGTTAGTCTAACTGGATTTTTTTGAAACATTTAGTTTGCCTCGTTGGTGAATCGCCGTATGAGTGTACAAATCTGTTACCATATCACTGCTATCTTGGACCTGCTTGTGATTAATAACAGTATTCAGAAATCAGTTTTTTAGACCCTTTGTTCCGGGTGTATCCGTTAATTTTAATCCTCATGAGAATAACTGTGTATAGGTGGCTATTTCTTGGATCCATTGTTTCCTACAGTTCTGTTGTTGTAAATATTTTGGATATTAATTCTGATAAGCTGAGCATTCGAATTGCTGATAAGATTAGTTGATAACTAAATGACAATTGCTAGAATTACTTAATTGAATTTTTTGTTGATTCAAAACGGACTTCCACAAGTATCCTCTTGTTTCTGTCCCACAGTTATGATGTTGATCTAAGCAGCATTTTTTCTTCGTATCCTGGAGCACCTACTCCACAATACACTCACCTGTTGAACAATGACTACAGTCTTTTGAGTTCAACCCGTTCATCGATTCCCAGTAAGTCAACATACTCGGGGAGTGGCAAGCTTCTTGGGGCAACTGGATTGCGTGCTAGTTCATTACACTATGAAATGCGACAATGGATTTGCGATTGTGTCGCTCCTACTCCAGTGGAACTTAACCTAGGCATACTTTCCTGTGGTCCTGGTTGCATTAACCGTGCCCTAAATATTGAGTGCGGACTGCATTGTGCTGCTGGTGATTTCTGCAGTAATCGTCAGTTCCAGATGAGGCTTTACGCTCCGACGAGACCCTTTTATGCGGGTAAAGACAAAGGATGGGGACTGATGGCAACAGATAACGTCGAAAAGTAAGTTGATGCAATACATTACTCCATTGGAATTTTTTATTTGTAGAGGAACCTTTGTGATTGAATATGTGGGAGAAGTTATTGACTTTTCTGAATTTCGTCGTCGTATCCGGCGGTACGAACGCCTGGGTCACGCTCATCACTACTTTATGGCTGTGGAGTCAGATAGATTCATCGATGCTGGTAGTAAAGGCAACTGGGCAAGATTCGTAAATCACTCATGCGAACCCAACTGTGTTACTCAAAAGGTAAATAAATAATCGTCTTGTATGTTTGGTAAATTTAATACATATAAATTAATTAGTCAATAGTTCATATACTTAACATTCCATGAGTTGTACGTTTCGGTAATTCGTAGTACTATCATAATACCTGCAAAACAACTTTCCCACCGGCACATGCTTGTGGTACTTTATTATCTTTGTATTTTTATTTCTTAGTGGAGTGTAAATGGTGAAATACGCATTGGGTTTTTTGCTAAAGAAGATATCCCATCTGGTCAGGAAGTAACCATAGATTACCAGTTTGTCCAGTATGGGTATGTGTTGTGTAATGTATTTTCGGAATTACATGGCATTAAACCTTTCATTAAATGTAACATCTTTGTTAAAGCAAAACGCTAGTTTTGTTAATAGTACTTTTAGCAGCACTGACTAGCTATAAACCTTGTAATTCGTAATATGTGTGTAATATTCAGTTATTTTTATTTACCAGGTGTCTAGCTTGCAATTACAGTCAGTCAGCTACAACGTAGGACCAGGCACATTTATGCATCGGTCCAAGTTGCCATACCTCGTTAGCACAACAAGATGAACACCGGATTCATAGAAGTAATTAATGTAGTGGTGGTAGTAGTATATAAATTATAGGTTGTATATAAGGATATAGTATAGGAAGGAAGAGAGATATAAAGCAATTTTAGTCTCAAGCTTGCAATTACATGTCGAAATGATTGTGTTGAGTATCTAAATGAATCTAATTCGTATTTTATTATTTAAAAATGATAAACTTCAGCTGATAGATAGGACTTAAGATTCTATCCACACAAATAGTGGTATTAACTACTGGTGATATTAGTGTGTTCTTTGAAGCAATAACATTTTGTGTGTCAGTGATTAGTTTTCAATCTTATTTTTTTATGATAGAAAATGTTTACTCAGGTAACTGCTGATCAGAGTTGAGTGTTTACTAAACGATATCAGTTAGTTTGTCGTTTAATCTTAAAATGATCCTAGTGTTTTAAATGTCAAAATCCAGTAACTTGACGTAATTGACGAAAAGTAATTCCTGGTCGTTCTCCCTACAATATTTTAGAATTAAGAAGGAACGTATAGACATTTTCAATAGAAAGTCAAAATTTAATAAATTGAATGTTTTATTTATTTGTATATTTAAATACAAATCTTGATACGAATGGGCACTAAGATAAGTCCTTGTCACACAAATAATTGGATGAAATCGTGAAGAGATAGACAAAGGAGGGTTAAAATAATCAAGAAATAATTAAGTGAATAAGTGAGTGAACAAGGGAAACAGTTCACGTGAACAAGATAGTCCAAGAAGCTACTTTTAGTTACGGAAGTCCTTAGTTTCTTGAAGTGAGACAAAATTACAACAGGACTGAGCTGTGTTTAATGATGTCTCAAGACATTAATTTGCATCAACGGATCCCAGTCCTATACAATGTTTTTTCATACCCCAGCACCGTGTCATAAGCTGATCGCTCTTCCGCTTTCGCCATCCGAACCCAGTGTCAGAAAACAAAGCACGATATGGAAGTCGCTTGGAAGACATTTGAAGTACATATTCAAACCACTGGAGCTAGTATTTCAACATAACAAAATTAATTGGGCCGTTGTCATCACCCCCGAACACGGATATCCGGACCTCTGCATTACTAACATGATGTTACCCCCAAATGTTGGTAGTTCATTTGGAGATAACGATGATCAAACACAGAGTCACCGAACGTTCTCAGCCCGGATTCTCTAGACATTTAAGATCTTTGTTCATAGTTTGCTTTATCCCAATGATATCATGTATCTAAAAAACCAAACGAAATCCCAATTAGTGTATCGCAACCTGTCAGCTAAGTTTAGGTCTATAAATCAAGCCGTTGTTAGTAATACTACATGAATTTCTAAACAGTATGCAAAATGTTTGAATCTGCCTCCATGCGACTGAAAATAAGTACATGAGATAGTGAGTTTTAAAGGCTTTTATTTAAACCTACATGCTTGGATCAACTCTGACTATATAATCATACTGAACTGTGGCTAGGTCGGAAATTAAGACTTATTCTTACATACAGCTTTTAGAAAGTTTTACATAAAATGATCCTATGGTTTCACCCAAATATATCCCAATTACTGAAGTGTCTTTATTGAAGTTCATATTTTTATCAATAACTCTATCCTACTTCAGCCTGGGGAGTAATGTTATATATCTATATCATATTAATCATGGCTCAGATTTTAATGCGTAAACCTATACTCAGTAATTAAGTTGTATTAAAGTATACTTACCGTAAAAGTCGTGGATAATAGAATAACGAGCGATTCTTGAAACCCCGATTTCAGTGTGCAAGCTGGTGATGTTATGTTCGTTTGTGAGGTGATGTTATATTATTATTTTTATTATCCTGTATCGACAAATGCATACTCACGAGCTTCAAGACCAATTTTGCCCAAATTGAAACAAATATACAGATACGTCGTATTAGGTATTATTACATAGTCCAATTTTTAATTCCAACCTTTCCGTTTCGTAATATTAACTGGCACCATTCGATTAACTATAAAATACTTATTATGTTCCTTTTTGACTCAAACCAATGTTTATTCAGGTTGAACTCAGTTCACATTCTTCTTAAGACGAGTTTAAATGATTGGATGAGGTAAATTTAACATCCAATAAGGCGCTTTTAACAAAATCCGTTCTTTCACCACTCTATTGACTTTTGAACTTATTCGTTCTAAATTTTTGTTCATTGTTGTAAAATTCAGTGTTTCTGAACAAAAGTGTTACTGTGGTGCATCTACCTGCTCTGGTATAATGGGGGCGACCAGCAAATATTTGCAAGAAAAAGTTCGCATGAAAGATACTACAATGGTATGTCATGGTTTGTTAGTGCTTGCAAGGTATCTTTCTGTGATTTCTATTCATCTATTCTTATCTCCAAAGTTTCGTAACTGACAGCAGTTACGTTTGACCTAAATGGTGAAACAAGTCCAGCCAAAAATGTATAGTCAGTCTGGGATAGAGAACTCGTGTTGTTGTTTTTGACTTCTGAGCAAAATTCAAAGCTAGACATTTTACAGTAAGATATCTTTACGTTGACTTGAGTTTGTTTTATTTTCGACATTATACTACCGGTTCTTCGGCGTCTTTTTTTCCGGTTTCAATTATCACGACCTGAGAACATATTTGAATTCAGATAAGGCTTAGGGAAATATTCTTATTGTCACTCGAAGTGTAATAATTCGGACCACAGTTACGAGTGATTTAAATTTTGAGCGATTAAGTAGTTGTATTGTAATCTTGCAACCGGAAAGACTTTGTAATAACATGGTATAAGCTTCAGGTTAGGATTTGTATGTTAGATACTACTCTTTCAGACTATCAAAATACACAGAAAACTGACGGATAATTTTTCAGCACTACTCAACGGGGTACTATGACACGAATAACTGTATGTTTTGTTGCAGCATTTGCGTGTGTTGTAAATGATTTTATATTATTATCATTGTAAGTAATTTAGCGTCTCAAGAGATTTTTATTTTATCGATGTTTCGTCGAAAGCAGTTGTACCATTCACATGGGTAACTAAATCGAATGTTTCATTGGGTTGAGTTATTGCTGAATTAATTTTTTTGTCATTTAATGCTTCTAAGAATCATATCCTGGATAGATCCAATTAAAGATTCTTCATAAACGTATTTTCACTGATCAAGTGTAACGAGTATCGAGTTACGAAAACTTGCACCTAGCTGATCTCCACTCTGTTAACACGAGTCCGAGTTGTTTAATTTACCGTAGAAATTTTAGGTCGTAACAACCTACCAGTTGTATATATATATATATATATATATATATATATATGGTCAAGGAGCCGATTGAATTTTGGAGCAATGCTGTCTTAGTATCTATCTTGCAAAATATTGTTAACTGAGGACAGGTTTCTCATAACACTAGTTTTGGTAAGAAGTTGAAAAACAGTTTAAGGTTTGCTTAAATCTTGTATAGATTGATCATGTTTATCCTTCCATAAGTCTTCGAACACTTTCACATATGTTATAGGTCAAGAGTAAATGTCTTTCATCTTGTTAGTACTACTGTAAAACAAAGCAACGGACAGAAGGCATGTTTGTTGTTAGAAATTACAGTGTTTATGTAATATGTACACATGACCTTTGGTCATCCATTTGCATCTTGCTGGGTGTTCTTCAACCTGAACTGTCTTGTCTGGTCATCAAGTGTTCTGCCTGCGCCGTGCTTTTGATATACTGAAATTCTCTCCGTCTGAGAACTGTGACAACTTCGACACCACGTTACACTACATACTACCTACGAACAGTCTTGGGAATTGCGTCCATCACAATACCACCGGTTTATTGACCTGCAGTGAAGTCACTGTCTAAAGAGGTTTCTGTTCGATATATTTACTAACATCTTGGAAAGCTTGTACAAAAACAAGTAGGATAAGATTAGGCTATCCTAACCACCTCATCCACCTAGAAGCTACAGTTGAAGGATTTGCCTAACATGGTGTTTTAGAGGTAGATTTAAAGCGATTGCATGGTGGTATTAATTCTCTTCTTTTCAAAGTACAGCATCAATAACGCAAACTTCATCTAATTATTTAATAGTTAGGGTCTGTATGTACGCGATGCCTTACAGAAACGAGTTTCAAAGTAGTACGAGGTTAACAGATTTCGCCATACCTGTTATTAGTAATGAACTGCTGATGATTATGAAGCTAGTTTATTTGAACAATTGATTAGTTTGTATGGTATATTCAACTGGTAATATGTTATTATAAATTATCGTTTAATCTGTCGACTTGGTAGTAAACGGTAAAGTTTACAATGCTTTTTGCTCATCGCTTGTAAAACTTGGCTTCTCCGAGCTAGATGTTTTTAATTACTATAAGTTCCTGATAATCAGTATCTTTTAGGATTACTAGCTTTCTGGGATAATACCGTTATATTAAACGGAGGTCTAGCAAAGTGCTTTGGCTTTATTGAGACTACCTGTCGGTTAGAAAGTAGCTCTAAAAGGTCAATTTTAGGGGGTTTTGGTTGTTATTTTAATGTCTTTCATACGGGTATTTTAGAAAAAGCTTGAAGAATGAGAATCAGCACTGTTTAATCAGGTGTCTCGTAAGGTATTGTTCAAAATAAGTATTACATTTTTTTTACTGTAATCTACTCAGTTAAAATTACAATTGTTACCTTTGCAATCTTGCTAATAATTCCGTTCCTTCTTGATATTAGCTTTCTTGTTCTAGCTACTAAATCAGCTCTGCAGAAAGTCAATAGTTAAATATCCTGCTATTAGATGTAAGCAGTTCATGGTCATTTTCGGAGACGTACTTCGGTTTAAGTATTTCTGTTCTCCGCATAAAATTATTTGGACACTATTGTTAGTTCTATTAATTTAGGTATCTTTAATGTTGCTGCAGGAAACAACATGCTCAGTTTCTAAATTGGGTACTAGAGAAGTTAATTAGTTGTTTATAGCATTCGACTTCTAGTCCCTAACTCGCTGGTTTGAACCCTGTTCGGTCTCCGGTTTGTGCACCCAAATTAAATCATTATCCTCACAAAGAGTATGGCTTATAGCCTAGTACACGGACTTTTTATTTAGTTAAGTTAGTTGCATTATTTACATGAATATTAAATAAAAAGTTGAGAATTAATTATGAGATGCTTACGTGACGTGATTTGGAATTTGAAATCGTTTTATCCCATTTTAGTACTTGTAATGGATTTATCGTAGTTACTGTATACCTTTGTTAAATTCATTTTACCTCTAGGTTGAAAGACGCATTCTTCAGCTCCTTCAATTAGATTCATTCAGAAATGCAGACGATATAACTCTGTTATTACAAGTTATGGTTCAAGAATGTCTTACAAGGTACACCCGACTGCAGCTTCTCAACCGTCTGATTAAAACAGAAAACGATGCTTGTCTTAAACTTTTTCGACAGTATAATGGTCTCGATATGTTGGCAGCCTTTATGTGTGATGCAGCGCCAAAAGATTGGGAACTCAAAAAGCAAGTATGTAGAAAAATTGTTTTTCTTTGTGTGAAATTTTTGCTAAATTACTTAGGTATCTCTCTGTGTCTTAAGACTTTTCCGTTTCATAGATCTGGTTTCGTACCTACACATGATAATTTTCAGTGTAGTGGTTATTTTTCAATTCACATAGTTCATATAAATAACAAATTTACTTATATTGTGGTGTACGCTACTTATGTCGACAAATATACGTAGTATGTAACACCAGTCGAAAGCGGAAAACCTGGCAGCAGGAGGATAAGAAGATCGAGTTGAAGAGAATAAAAGTGCAAATAGAAAGGAATTGTAGACTGGAAGAATCATACTGAATGTGAAAGACAAATGATGGAGATTTTCGGTTGAAGTATTCAGTATATGGTTCTAATATTTTACTAAGAGATTCTGTAATTTTGTATTTAAATACAATCGGTTGTCCCCACCTGTGTTCTCATTCACCACAATATGTGTATATGAGCTAATTTCATATGTATTTCGCTTATCACTTTATTTGCTTGAGCTTCGATATATTTTATACGTTAAAATCAAAACCTCATGTATGTTTGCAAATCTATTTCTTTCTAGATATTAGTTTGCTTAAAACACATCCCCGTTTCAGAGCAAAAACAGGTACAGTCAAATTCACGCCTTATGGAAATAGTAGCACAGTGGACATCCGATCCTCACCATTGTCGGGCACGTAGTATTCCTCCAGAGTCGTGGAAGAGTGTTGATCTACATATAGCAGGTAAAGTTGATCAAGTTGCTGAACTATGCTTTTAGATACTTCAAATGTTACTTTGGCTGGATTCTCTACTGATGAACTCCCCACGGAGTCAAATTTCGATTCTGATGAAACAAAATCACGTATGTTGGATGATTAAATTAGCAATTTATTTGTTACAAAGTTCATTTACATATTCAATCTAAGTGCAAATAATGTATTTAAATCCATAGTTTTATAATGTGTTCATATCAAACAGTAAAAACGATAGATTGTCATATTACGTTTCAGCTTATCACCTTTTTCTGTTCTGGAGAGAGATCAACACAAGAATATCACAAAAACCAAAAGAATAGTCGAATGATTTCCAGTTTAATCAGTTCTTTACACAATTTACAACAGTACCCAGTTCACTGATCAAGTCTATATTGAGTTTATCCTCAACCAACAGTGGCTAGCCACTTGGTGATAGCTAGTGTTTCGGCATATTTTTTTTGTGATCACCCATATTATCCCTGACAGTCAGATGGCTTTTGGGCATGAATTATGTCGCTTACTTCTCGTATCAGGTTTATTAATTTGATGAGAACGAATACCATGTTCTATACTAATGATTCTTGCTATTACACATGCAAACTTTAACATAAGATTTCAAACAAATTTCTTATTTCAAACGATCCTTCACGAACATATTATTCCCAATCAACATTCCGTCTCTTAAAATACAAACTATGGTGAATTCGGTTTTCATTTTAATCAGCGCTTTTGCATTTGGCTCAGAATGTCAATTAGGAGAATATTTCTGGTCCTTGCAATTGATTTGGCGGTTTGTCAGTTTATTCATGTCATCCTAACTAAACACTTGATGAGTAGGATGAAGTATATGTAGACACATCTCAATTCGTTATCCAAAATACCCCCTAATCAAAAATCGATCGTTCAATTCCCAAGTGAATTCAGACTAAATTGTCCAGTTCGCAAGTTAATTGTATAGTTTTGTAGACCTACCTACTTTAGACTTGTATGTATATTTAAATGGAACATATCCGTGACCACAGATATTTAAGTTCTGGTTAGTGGGATCTGCTCCGAATTTTTATGTATAAAGTTAAATCAGTTGATTTTCAAATAAATTGAGGATTGGGTAAAAAGGTAATATATATATATAAGATATTAGTAAAAGTTCTACTCCAATGGTAATCTATTCACAAAAAGTGGGGTTTGTTCATTGGTTTTCGGACGACCTTGGCTTTGTTATCATCGTAACAATATATGTAATATTTCAAACTAAACGTCACGTAGTTTATTTTTCTAGACTTCTTAAAGAACTATTCATTTCTGAGCGGATAAAACGTTTGCAACCTGTTCTGGGGTAACAGTTTATAAACGGATGTTTATGAACTTTCAACACTGATGAATTATTATCGGTTAATACATTAAAACGTTTGTTCAAAATACCTGGAATAAACCCTTGTCAGAGACTGTCCACTACACCTAAGGTCCAGTTTTCATCACATGTTTGTTACCTCACTCGAAATATGCAGCTCATTTTTGTATAAATGTTGCGAATTCGAAACACATAATCTTCAAACGTTTAGGAACTTTTAATGTCACAATGTATCGTGCGTTGTTTCGGTTTTACTGATTACGAAAGCTATTCACTTTTGGTTTTTCTACTATTGCTCTTTATACTAAAAAAGTTTCGTCCTGTGTTATGTTACAGTTGTCTCTCTGATTTAAAAAGCAATCTAAATGTACAAATTCACCATAATTTAGTGTCTTGTGAGATGATTTACTTTCATTTTAAGATTTACAAAATTTACTTTTCATGTTTCAGTTTCTAAGAGTACCAAAGACAATGAATCTTCTTCCATACAAACAGGTGATAAGAATAGTGATTTCGCTGCATCGCCTTCGAGTTCCGACTCATTTAGTTCTTTTTTGAAGGAGAATGCATCATGTGTATTGCATGCCTCGACACTTCCAGTTTACGAAGAAGGATGTAACACTATTACTCAAACTTCGGATTGTGATATGTCCCCAGTGACTCTTGTGGATGATGGTAATGGTGAAGTTGAAATGGGATATGCAGCGGACGACAACGAATTAAATATGGATGCTGAACTATGTGAGAGTAAAACGAATGAGGAAAGGATAGAGGAAATCAAGGCTTTGGCTTGTGAACTGCTTGAAAAATGGTCTAAATTACCGGTAAGTTTTTGACAGTCTATGGGATTTACTAGTTCTATATTTCATCATCTTCATTTTTCTTCGAACTTGTTTTTATCTCAATGCCATCTATGTTTCTGCGTATTATGATAGAAGGAAAACTACCGGATACCTCGATTGGAGCGTCAAGAAACCGAGAAAATGCTTCATATATCAAATCCAATTGGCTCTTCTCTTATCTCTTGGGGATCAGAATACAAAGGTCGGTGTTATTTGGAACTAAATGTTACTGTTCATTTCATAGAACTATTAAAAACTTCAGTTGTTTTTTAATTAAAACCGTAGTCAAGGATTGCTTAAACCCGAAAAATTTCGATATAGGGGTTTTATGGAGACATAAATTTTCACGGTTTGCATCACGGACCGATATCAGATTACTATTAAGAAAGATGAAGCGCTGGACAACTGTTTCGTCCTACTTTTGGGTTCTTCAGCATCGCACATTCATAACCATCATAAATACACATGACCGCTTGTAATGTTTTACTTTTTCTTTATGTGAATATCAGTTTTCTCAAAATGTATAGGTAAAAAAAATACTCAAATAACAATGACGATATATATTAACATTGGAGGTCCAAAGGAGGTTTCAATGAAATGTTAGCTGAGTTTATGATAGCTCGTAAACAAATATGTGATTCAATAAACAATCTGAAATCCGACTACACCGTATTTTACCGTTGATCATAAAGTTCTAACAACTAAACATCGTTTCTTTAATTGGTCAGTTATTTTTGTTGTTTGGTTTACCAGATGATCAAGCAATGTCAAATAAATCTTGGAGTCAGAATACTAGCTGTAAATTCCAGTCAAATAAAACGTAAGTTTAAACACGATTGTATACTTTCCATTCATTTATTACTAATGTATTTCTACATATTAAATAATTCTAGGAATGGTTTTACTCTCTCTCTCTCTCTCTCTCTCTCTCTATATATATATATATATATATATATATATATATATATATATATATATATATATATATATACAAACTGTTTGTCGTTCGAATCAGCCAGTAAAGCATATAAATTTCATTAAATCTACTATCACGATTTTACATTAACTAGTCCTTCCTGGATTGTTGTTGATTGAAGAATATTTACGTCTTCAAATGTACCACTTCCAATCGGTAGGCATTATAGTTTTTTTAAAGCATCCTGTTGAAATAAGGTACACATGATTTTGTACTATCCATCCTAATTTCATGAAATAAATAGCACTTTCTGCAATATTATAATTAATTCCCTGCTTTTGTTATTTTTTCTCAAGTTTACGTGATAAACTGGTTTCATCTTTCGTTCGAGAGCAAAGTGGTCCAAAAGCATCTAACAGTTCATCATGTTTGTCCAAAGCTGAGAGACGTATGCTGTTTGAAGCTCAAGTTAAAGCTAATGAAAATCAATGTTCATCTGAAAATTTTGTCCCTACATCGGATGAACTTGTGCAGAAAAATCCGTCTAATGCTGAAAAAGATACAGATCATCTTCGTCAGGTAACGTTTTTGCTTGTTTGTTACCTGTATTCAATTATGATTCCATTATTCTGCAGCATTTTAACAAATCCAATTATATGTTGTCTGAAACAGTCAACAATTGATTCCCTGATCAATATTAATTTATCGCTTTATTTCGTTGAAACCTATTGTATTTTAATATTACTTCTCCAGTCAATATGATGGCCACTCCCAAACTTCTGTGATGAAATCGAAATCGTAATTTTTCCTGAATTACTACTTTCATGAAATAAATGTTCATTGCACTTAGTCTTATGGTCTTCACATAGTAATTGATGAGTTGATGGCAAACTTACGGACATAAGATGTTGTTTTGAGACCGCAGACTTATATCACGTGCCAAGTCGTCAGTCAGATTTCCAATTCTCACTTTTGTCTGTTTCGCTCCTAATATTTTCTTCCACAGCTTATTGTTTTCGATTTGATCAGCCACACACCCGACCAGCAATTTTGACTGTCGGCCGACACAATTAACTTCCTATTGGTCCGCATTTCATGAGCTTCTCTCTTTTCCTTTCCTTAAGTCCAAAGGCCAGCAACCAGCTTCTACTATATATGCTTCAAACAAACGTCATTTATGTACGGACATACCAAACCGCATCACGTCAGAAAATGAAAAATTACACAGAAGCGGGCAAAAAGCGGCTGTGAATAGGGTAAACTGCATGTAATAGAACGGCAACAAATTTTAAAGACATGATACCAGTTGATGCGTTAACCGAAAACTTATCATTAACAGAGTACATAAACATAGTAACCCAGTTGCTTACTAAAATGATACGAAAATTAGTTCCAACAATATTCATTCTATTATAATATAAAAAATATCTCATACATCGACTCTCTTGTGAATGAGAAAATTTAGTAGGATATTTCTAAAATGTTAGATTACTTCTGCATGCTCAGTTTGTATTTTTCTTTAACAATTATATGATTTCATGACATTTATTGATTTTCACTTTCCAGAACTGTAAACGTTTTGGGTTAAAGACATTGTGTTATATCAAAAAGTTTTCAGTGATAAAATTGTAGGCTATAAAAAAAACATGCTAAGCAATAACAAATCTCAGATCAGTAATATTTGATTGATTCTATTTGCATCATTTCACGTTCGTGTTATTTGGTATTCGTTCTTTTCATTGTTTCAGTTACTACTCTGTGCACTTTTAAGTGAGTGCGGTCGAAACAATACTGCGCTTTCAAATCTTTTATCCAACATAGCAGTAGAACTGAAAAGCATGCCTGTTGTTTCTACTTTGTTACAAGCCTTACCTCGTATGTTGAGTTTGATGTCCAGTTCCAACGATTCAGATTTGGTGAGTTATCCTCTAAATATTTTTTTGTTGTGTAACGTTAGTCCCATTGAACCGATACAGAGAACTAGGTGGATCATATTTGTATCACTAAAAAACAAGTGTCAACAGACTAGAAAGAAGGATACCTCACCAAGACACCGAAGTAAGGAAATCTGAGCAAGTGTAAGAAATACAAAGGCATCACACTGTTGCAAGTACTAGTAAAAGTTTCAACAAAGTGCTGTCAAACTGAATGAAAAACTCAGTAGACACTCAACATCGAGGTCAACAAGCTGGAATGTGTAAGGACCGGTCATGCGCAGACCAAATCTCAACAATATGAATCATTGTTATAAAAACTCCCTGAATTCGCTTTATGTTCCTATGTTGGAGTTAAATATATATCTGACCTGTTGTATTCTGCTCGCTAAGATTTCAGATTGGGGTAATAAAGTCCCTAGCTAGTAGTATTTCGTCAAACCCCAGGTTTGATAGCTTTAGTACACTCTGTATTATCTTATCATCATGTGTGTTGGAACCTGTGGAGGACCGATATATTCCTCCAATCAAGTACTTTGTGCCGTTTACATTAGTGGACACCAGAACGATTCTGTCATCTTAGTTCATTCGGTATTGTGTAGTGTTACGGTTTTGAAGTGATTGATAATATATTTTTCCACTCCAGCTCCAGTTTTGCTTACCCTGCCGCACCACAAAGTGTCACGTATCGCAAGCTCATTTTGTTATCCATTGTTTTTGGGTGACCAAAATACTTTAATAAGGACTATGATCATCCTAACCAACTGAATACACGCGTGTCTGACCTCTCCCAGTTTAATTTTTAACATTCTTATGTTGCTAAACAGGCGACTGATGGTTCTTTTCACCTCCTGATGTGCCTCTAAAAACGTTTCGTTACTGGGTTTTCAAGCAGATTGTTATATAATGTGTGTTGGTTGGTCTGTCAGAACCATTATCTGTAGCTTTAAGCGTGAATGGTGTGTCTCATTCTCAGAACCATATTTTCTGTGTTCCGAAATGTAGAATGTTGATGAACATCAACCAACGCCAGTTTGTGACTTTTATACTGTTGCGTTGCTGATCTAGGTTGGCTCTCCCAACATCTAATGGGAATGAAATAGTCGTTTTCTGAATGTAATCAGGAGTGAACGGCCTCATGTGGATCGATTATTTCTGAGGTTCAGGGTTAAAGACAGGGAATCTTAATTGTTGTATGGTAAAACAGATGAGTAGTCAAGGCACGTTTATTACCGTAGTTGTGCGAATTCCATGCTACATGATAGCTTACTTCACTGTCTCGCACCGCTTCATTCAGACTACCATTCACCAACTCAGTTACAGCGTGAGCCACAATGCTGGTTAGCACCTGATTGTTTGCTGACCTCCCAGCGATATATTTCACGGACCACGGGATGATGTTCCCAACTTGTATTTGAGAGAATCGCTTGTCTACAGGTCTTTAGAATGTCATTATAATTTTTTCTGCTACGTGCGCCGAATTAAAAATTACCCTCGAAGGAGAGGACTGAAATTTAGCCAAGTTTTGACTGCAAAACAAGCGGCATAGTCTGGCTGACGTGATGTAGAATTGATGCCAATTCGGTAATAACTGCATTTATCTTTACTGTTAGATTTATAGAATTAATCCTAATATTATAAATCTGTCATCATGTGAATACTTGATCTATAAGATATTACGTAGAAGTCACATCACTGGTCATACTGCCGTGTCCTACTGTGACAGTGAGAAACGTTCTATTTAAGAGTTCTGAAGGACACATTTGTGCTACTTGTCTGATATTGTTTTATCTTTAGTACTAATTTTAGACATCGATTTAAGTACCTTTCTGAGTGTTTTTCGTATTGTATACGATTTACTACAAAAGTTCACTAACTTTTAGATGTACTCTTATCCTTTATTTGATGTCTACTGACCTTAATCTTTGAAAAGTCACTTTTCTACACCTTAATTGGTTTTATGTCTAACATACTTTTCTACACTTTTATATTTAAAATGATACAGGTTACGCGTCTTTGTAAAGAACTCAAACGGTATGCTGATGACGACTTAAACTCATTACCTGCGGGCTGGAAATCTGCTGCTGATTCGACTGGGCGATTGTATTATTACAATAAAGAAACCAATAGTGTTCAGTGGGAGAAGCCTCTAATAGCTGTCAATCAAAAAGATGACGTAAGAAAAAATTTCAAGCAGTTCATATGATATTTGATTGATTTTTTCATCAAATGCAATATTCTAAAACTATACATTTTCTAGATCGTTAAATACTGCTTGTTTTTTTTCTTCAGAAAAACACCCTTACTGAAGAGCAATATGAACAGATGAAAAAACAGTTTACTCGTGAGGTTAGTTGACCACTGAGTTCTATCACATTTTGTTTCAAATTTTGTGAATCTTCTACTTACTAAGGCGCGTAAGTTCACACCGATGAAGTCGATTATGAGTTAATTTTTCATCTAATTGGTTAGTCCTACACTTATCCCCTCATATCCGTTACCAGTGACTCTCCTCACACATTTTAACTATATTATTATCCAAGGTTTCAGAGCTTTTATTGAATTATCTGAACTCAAATTTCCCATATTTTGTTTCCGTTTTTGTGATTGTATCACTAGAATTCCATAAATGATATAGATCCAAGTCAAACATTATTTGTTAAGTCGATGTTGTAGGGATACTCAAAATAATAAATTTAATGTACCATTTGTGGATCATCGTCAAGATATTCTCAATTTAATACCCTATAAGTATTTATTCATACTGTTTGGATTGTGTTATATTTTTCAGAGAATTGATCACACTTCATACACTCAATTATTTTAAGCTTTCAAAATGGTCAGCTTCATCAATTTGTCAGCGTTCTATGTTTGCTGATCATCTCAATGTCTTGTCTAATCACTCTGATGACAAAATTTTCTGTTTAACTCTCTTTAGGTTGGAAATTACATTTTGCGTCTTCTGAAGCCCTACAGACTACCCAATTGTTTGACTGGTCGTATAGACTCGAACGAAGACTTTTTGCATATAACGAAAAAGGTGGGATTCTCTTTTATTACCTTTAAGCTGATAACTAATTACTTCATTTTCCCATCTGTCATAAGTTATGCATTTCAAATACCAATAAGAAATTGCGAAATATAAGAAACAAAACATCACATGTAAGAAATATATGTAAATGTGTTGTCCTGTAAGTAAAATTAACGGAGTATACCTGTATCCGTTTGTCTCATAGTCCTTTTTTATTTCCACTACGACTCCTCAACACCTTAAAACTGGATTTTTTGAAAGAAAGAATTTCCTTAACATATTGTCCAGCTAGTCAACACGATTATTCTAAACTTCCCTTCTGTATTTCTGTTGGCACACTCTCAGTTCCTTCCATGGTCACAATAAGTTTATTATATTGTATGTATGTTCATCTTGAGCTATATATTTATTGTCAATACTGCTAATCCAATGAAATAACAACAGAATACTCATAAACAAAAAGAAACTTGATGTACATCAAGAAATGCTATCAAATTTCTTCCAGTAGTCTAATTTGTGTTTAGATACTATCCGTATTTTTCTTCAGGATTTCACTTATATATTTGTTATCTCATTGTAGTTGTAGTGTCTTTAATATTCTGTTGACATCTGCCCATTTTACAACTAATATTCACTTGTAGTGAATATGATTTTGAATAAAGGGATATTCAAAATGTATTGCTGATATCGTTTAATTTATCATAACTAATTCGTTTTTTTCGATTTCTGTTAAATTCATGTAATATTTTAGACAATTAAAAAACTATCTCAACTTTATTTTACAGCTGACTCATTCGTTCGTATCGAAGGAACTAAAAAGATCATCAATAGCTTCACCACCAACGTTTTCAAACGGACTTCAAGAACGTATACGTTCAAGTGTTACACGATATATGACTTCACGTGGGCCAGTATATAGGCGTAAAACAAAAATCAACAATCCTAGGTGACCTAAGTATATATATATATTACTAGCAAATCTGTATATAGTCACAATTTTCTACATACTGAAGAGCAATTATGGTATATGTATATATATATTTATATATACTTTGTTCCATTATATGATCGTATGTCTATTTCAGTGATAATTTAATTTATTTAGCTTATAGCTTCCATTGAAATTGTAGGAGTTTTCAATTTTTTCAACAATTAAAACCACTATTGTATATGTTAAATATATACAATACTTATTTTATTCCATGGCAGCATTTTGCTACAAAAATTATTTACTACCGGTAACTTGCTTAGTTTTAATTTATTTCTCAGGTTTTTAACAATTGTATATGTTTTTCCTCTTGTAGTAGGATTATGATGAAATGTTAGTATTCTTCTCATTGCACATACTGATATCTTTCTTATTGAAGTTGTAAATAACGAATGGCTGTGTTTATTGTTGAATAACTTTGATGAACATTTTAACCAGGATAATACTGTAGTTTCATGTACGTCTATCTCTTTCTTACGTATTTAATTCGACTTCTTTAATCAAATGATATTTTTAAACCGATCTAGGCAGCTTCTTATTAACCTTAGTATTTCTCCCCGTTTGATAGTAACTGACCGTAATTATTTAAAAAATTATGTACTGGGAAACCTAAATAAATTAATGTTTTTTTATGTGTTTTGATGTCCTTACTACAACACTTTCAGCTTTGAAACCAGAAAATATTTGCAAATAAGCTCTTGGTGGATTTTTTCAAGGCGCTTGGCACTATAGTGAAGTGCTTTCGTCATAATTTGTTCGAAAATCTCAGTATTTCTATTTCTATGCAATATCTCGTCGGTTATGAAATCCGTTTTTCATAGGGTATACAGTTCATAGTCTTCTGTCCATATTTATCTCGTCTATCGTGCTAACAATGAAAGGTACTGTTGAAGCGGAAAAAATATTCAAACAATGCTTTTACTTATCTTTGTGTAATATCATACTGTTCAATTCCTCAGTTGTGTTACAAACCGCAAAAATATTTTCATAAGCTTTAACGTATTCGACTGACCTTTGAGAAGTTAATTTGATAAAAATAAAGACAATTCAGTCAAGAAAATTTCCTTTTCGACAAAATCATTCATTTAAGTTGTACATTCATATTTATAGTTATATGGTTAATGTATGTCTATAGGATGGAAAAGATTGCATCGTAAATTGATTTGAGACTTATTATCAAATAAGGTTGCTCAATTACTAGTCAATACAGGAGCATTTAATCAACTATGGACACATCACTCCAAAAGAGTCCTCTTTTAAAATAATCTACACAGTCGAAGGGAAGTCGAGTCGAAATCTTATGCACTGCTGAGGCACTGGCAATCCACGAACTCAAGCCCGGACTTGGCGTGTAAAAACGAAACGCCCAACCTCTCATCTTTCCTTGGCTCTAATTCCCCGCAGTAATATGTTTCGTTTTTTTAATTTTGTTATTATTATTGATTTTTTAAACTAATGTTTTGTAATTTTAAACCGTAATCAGTTATTATTATGACCTTTATGTTTTTTTTCTTCATATCTGTTAATTGGATAATTATCTGACCCGTAAATTATTTTCATCCTTAAATTCTTTTCTTAACTCTTGATTATTACGTAACCTTATTTGATAATAAGTCTCAAATCAATTTACGATGCAATCTTTTCCATCCTATAGACATACATTAACCATATAACTATAAATATGAATGTACAACTTAAATGAATGATTTTGTCGAAAAGGAAATTTTCTTGACTGAATTGTCTTTATTTTTATTAAAAGACAATGAGTTATCTTAATTATCTGAAAAGTTAATTGATGATATGTATTTGTCATTCATTAATCATCCATATTTAAGCAATGTTGAATTGTAATCATTGAATTAACATTGTTAGATTGTAAATATTATGTATGTACACGTAACAGGTCATGACTTTGATATCACTGGGTCACCAATTTCTTCAACTTGTTAAACATACATAAATTTCCTCAAACTAGTATAAGCTAAAAACATAGTGAACATTCTTTCGATAACTGTATTGTTTATATTTATACGTTGAATCTGTATATTACTTCTAAGTACTAAGTGGACAGTGTTATGAACTTGAAATGCATATAAAAATGTCAGGTGCTAGACCCGTTGCAACAGCTCACTATAAGGCTACATCATCTTAGACAATTTATGAACAAGTATATTTTGAATTTGATCAAGCTAACATTTGATAGTAGAGATCTGCGTTCGTTCGATATCTCTGGTTTCGCAGTGATTGAATAAAACTTTGATTGGTTCTTTTAATATCGTTTAGAGTTGTTTATTATTATCTGTTTGCTAGTACCAGTCTGTGTCGCCAGACATTACATCACTACAAGAGATTTCGCATAATTGCTGACACCATAAAGATTAATCATGATCATAAAATTATTCAATCTCTTTAATTGCACGTCAGTGGGTATCTGTTATCACAGGTGATAACTCACACAGCTCATGCGGGATCAGTATTCGAAAACTAAACCAGTCAGTCAGTCACGACGTAGAACTCCGTACGTAAATCAGTCCGAGTTGGCATACCACATTAGCACATAGATGAAGTTGTCGATTCAAATCCTATAGTGGTAGAGGTAGTAATAGTATAAGTACTAATCGGAAAGATTAGGGTTTGAAGATGTTATTTAAGGAGTATAATCCAGTGAAATAAATTTGGAAAGAGAAAAAATAAAGCTTATAATAAGATGAATATATATAGAATAATAGTCTATTAATAGGTCCCGGAAGTTACCCGTATTTATTTATTCACTAGGATATAACATTTGGTACTTCTTTCAGTGACAAACACTGCCAAATAACCCCACGATCAACAGAGTCGAAAGCCGCCTTCATGTCGAAAAATACTACTAACGTGGGACAATTTGAATGTGTGTTTATGTTCTAGGACCTGGCGTAGAGTGAATACCTGGTTTATACAACCACGTCCATGTCGAAAACCAGCCCGGTTTTCTTCAACCTGCTCTTCACGAGCTTTGATTAGGCGTCGAAGTATTATTGGAGCTAATATTTTAGACACTATATTAGTCAGACTGATTCCTCTGTGATTGTCACAAGAGGACTTTTGTCCTTTCTTATAGACTGGCACAATCAGTGATTGGGTCTAGTCAGATGGAATTACGTCTAGTTCCCAGATTCTACCTAAGACATCAGTCAATCTCTCTGCTAATACTGGATTCTGTACAGGATGTTCACCTACTTTGATAGCGTTGATGATCTGAACATGCATTCGAAGTGGTAAATAAATCCCCAAAACTAATAGTTCTCTCACTCTTCGACATTTGATTCTGACCGTACTATTTTGACACCAATGTTTAATTCATTAACATCAGAATTTTCGCGGGAACAATTAGTCAATGCGGCATGGCTCGCCCATGCAGATGTGATCACCAAATAAAACTTCTTTCTTTTCGTATCAAAATATTATCCTATCCCCAGCACAAATGTGTCCTTCAGAACTCTTAAATAGAACGTTTCTCACTGTCACAGTAGGACACGGCAGTATGACCAGTGATGTGACTTCTACGTAATATCTTATAGATCAAGTATTCACATGATGACAGATTTATAATATTAGGATTAATTCTATAAATCTAACAGTAAAGATAAATGCAGTTATTACCGAATTGGCATCAATTCTACATCACGTCAGCCAGACTATGCCGCTTGTTTTGCAGTCAAAACTTGGCTAAATTTCAGTCCTCTCCTTCGAGGGTAATTTTTAATTCGGCGCACGTAGCAGAAAAAATTATAATGACATTCTAAAGACCTGTAGACAAGCGATTCTCTCAAATACAAGTTGGGAACATCATCCCGTGGTCCGTGAAATATATCGCTGGGAGGTCAGCAAACAATCAGGTGCTAACCAGCATTGTGGCTCACGCTGTAACTGAGTTGGTGAATGGTAGTCTGAATGAAGCGGTGCGAGACAGTGAAGTAAGCTATCATGTAGCATGGAATTCGCACAACTACGGTAATAAACGTGCCTTGACTACTCATCTGTTTTACCATACAACAATTAAGATTCCCTGTCTTTAACCCTGAACCTCAGAAATAATCGATCCACATGAGGCCGTTCACTCCTGATTACATTCAGAAAACGACTATTTCATTCCCATTAGATGTTGGGAGAGCCAACCTAGATCAGCAACGCAACAGTATAAAAGTCACAAACTGGCGTTGGTTGATGTTCATCAACATTCTACATTTCGGAACACAGAAAATATGGTTCTGAGAATGAGACACACCATTCACGCTTAAAGCTACAGATAATGGTTCTGACAGACCAACCAACACACATTATATAACAATCTGCTTGAAAACCCAGTAACGAAACGTTTTTAGAGGCACATCAGGAGGTGAAAAGAACCATCAGTCGCCTGTTTAGCAACATAAGAATGTTAAAAATTAAACTGGGAGAGGTCAGACACGCGTGTATTCAGTTGGTTAGGATGATCATAGTCCTTATTAAAGTATTTTGGTCACCCAAAAACAATGGATAACAAAATGAGCTTGCGATACGTGACACTTTGTGGTGCGGCAGGGTAAGCAAAACTGGAGCTGGAGTGGAAAAATATATTATCAATCACTTCAAAACCGTAACACTACACAATACCGAATGAACTAAGATGACAGAATCGTTCTGGTGTCCACTAATGTAAACGGCACAAAGTACTTGATTGGAGGAATATATCGGTCCTCCACAGGTTCCAACACACATGATGATAAGATAATACAGAGTGTACTAAAGCTATCAAACCTGGGGTTTGACGAAATACTACTAGCTAGGGACTTTATTACCCCAATCTGAAATCTTAGCGAGCAGAATACAACAGGTCAGATATATATTTAACTCCAACATAGGAACATAAAGCGAATTCAGGGAGTTTTTATAACAATGATTCATATTGTTGAGATTTGGTCTGCGCATGACCGGTCCTTACACATTCCAGCTTGTTGACCTCGATGTTGAGTGTCTACTGAGTTTTTCATTCAGTTTGACAGCACTCTGTTGAAACTTTTACTAGTACTTGCAACAGTGTGATGCCTTTGTATTTCTTACACTTGCTCAGATTTCCTTACTTCGGTGTCTTGGTGAGGTATCCTTCTTTCTAGTCTGTTGACACTTGTTTTTTAGTGATACAAATATGATCCACCTAGTTCTCTGTATCGGTTCAATGGGACTAACGTTACACAACAAAAAAATATTTAGAGGATAACTCACCAAATCTGAATCGTTGGAACTGGACATCAAACTCAACATACGAGGTAAGGCTTGTAACAAAGTAGAAACAACAGGCATGCTTTTCAGTTCTACTGCTATGTTGGATAAAAGATTTGAAAGCGCAGTATTGTTTCGACCGCACTCACTTAAAAGTGCACAGAGTAGTAACTGAAACAATGAAAAGAACGAATACCAAATAACACGAACGTGAAATGATGCAAATAGAATCAATCAAATATTACTGATCTGAGATTTGTTATTGCTTAGCATGTTTTTTTTATAGCCTACAATTTTATCACTGAAAACTTTTTGATATAACACAATGTCTTTAACCCAAAACGTTTACAGTTCTGGAAAGTGAAAATCAATAAATGTCATGAAATCATATAA